TCTACTACTTTATTATATACACACACACCATATTTTTCATTATGGAATACACTCATTAACTTTATTAAGTCCTACAATATTCACATCACATTTCACAAAGTCACTGCTTATTAAGATAACAATTATAACAACCTTGCTGATTAACTCACATGCAATCATTACAACTTGCTATATCTTATCTTTATTAGTAGTTATATATTAAGAATAGTTCTTTTGATGTCAACTCCAAGTTCACCATGACAAAGACTTGCTGCTGATAATTTGACATTTTGAACAATAATACTTTGGCATTATGTGTGAAGTTTTAAAAAATATATATAGGTAATCTAATAATACAATTTTTCGCTTCGACTCATCAACCCATAGATCTTTTCGTCTTTTGGCATTTTCACCTATCACCGACCTGTTGTTCCTTTTATCATTCGTCATTCGTTACCAACCTGTAGATCAGATTGTGTTTCAGTATTCATTTGTGCATGTGCTTAGTTCGAAAGAAATGATTGTCCTTTTTATTTAATCGCTTTGATTAATGTTAATGATTGTTAACTAGGATCATCATATGCTTTAAGGATCGTTAATGGAAAAATCGGTAGGAATGAATGCGGGAATATTTTCAAGGAAAGGTTTAGTGGTGAAGTAAAATCAGATAAGCAAGAGGTGAACAGGTGTTAATAGAAAGAATGTTGTAAACAGAGCAATCATTCAGATTTTGATAATTCGAATATAGTTACATGATTGATGAATGATTTCTTTATACGTTTTACAATATTTCTTTTGGAAGCCCGGGTAGATTAACTTTCTATTTAGCAATGGTAAATTAAACAGATTAATTAATAAACAGGAGGAGACGTACATAATCCAAAGTGAATCCCACACATGGTGTGATAAATTAAAACTAAAATAAATAATTTCAGTTTTAATTTGATCACACCATGTGTGAGATTCACTTTAGATCGAGTACATTTCCTCCTGTTGAATTAATACTTTCGTTTTGCCTTATAACATAGTCTTTGAATTCCCATAAATTCTACAACTTTTATTTTGCTATTTGATTGGTCAATTTACTAACATTTGAGATATGGAAATCATCTACGGATTTGAGCAATCGCATTTGTTAATGTTGTGATGGTGATCCTGTTTATTGCTTATCGTCATGTACAGCCTTAAGTTCCTGAGAAGATTCTTTAGAGGATAGTTAGGATGTCTCTTCAGAAAAATAAACTTATTTCTGAACTGTTTACACTTTTTGTTTCCTTCCTGAATAGATATAGAAAAGTTACGGTTTATTCTTTGAGTTTGTATTGTCAACAGGTTCATTTAGTAATTAGTAATAGTAATTAAGACATACCAGTTACTATATATTATACGTATATCATAAAAAATAAAAATAAAATACTTTGTTCTAAAATAAATATTATTATGCTATTATAATAATATTGAAAAAATAAAAAAAAAAACCAGCGAAAAAAAAAGACCAACAAAAAAAAAAATAAAAAATCAAAAATTAAAAAAAATAAAAAAAAATAAAAAAAAATAAAACAAATAACACCTTCATGTTCAGTAATTTCAATTCAACATACCAAGTCATAAATACCTGTTTAAATTTGCCACTGTATTATTTTTAAATAACTACTTTGGAAACACCAAAAGATCGTAGAAATTGTCTTGCTAAAGAAGCTTATGCACACCAAAGATCATTACTTACAGCTGAACAACTTGAATATCAATATGCCCAACAACGTGAAGCCTATAGACTTTGTACTGAAGCTGAGTCAAGTGAACAGATTGAATGTTGGCATAAGAATCAATGCATAGCATATATGTATCATAATCAACAAAGATGTGCTTCTAATGCTGCCCGTATGCAAATATATGATACTACTACTATTAACTGTCATTATCTAGAATCAATGAATATAGAATGTTTATATTGTGGTGCACTACATTAGATAGAAGAAAAAGTGTCTGGCAGTATATCTGCTCCAGTATTTAGTACTTGTTGTGCAAATGGGAAGGTATGATTACTAGCTATTAATCAACTACCTGAACTTTTAATTTCATTGCTTACTGGAGAAGATAGTAGATCCTGTAATTTTCGAAAAGATATTCGTAAGTATAATTCAGTGTTGACATTTACATCAATGGGTGCTGAAATTAATCAAAGTGTAGTTGGTATACGAGGTATCTACTGTTTTCGAATTCATAGTGAGATGTACTATCGAATAGGATCACTTTTACCTGATAATAACTTGATGCCTGCATTTTCACAAATTTATATTTATGATACTGAAAAACAATTATCTTATAGGCAATGCCTTATACCTGGCCTAGATTTGTTAATTTTTGAACAGCTTCAATATATGTTATACAATATTAATCCTTATATTCTTATCTTTCGACAAATTGCATATTGTATACATGAAAATTCTTTTCAAACTTTAAAATTTGTTATTATTAAAGCATATAATGAACATCAATATGTTCCACCTTTTTGCATCTGAAATTGCTGTTCTTATGGTAGGTAATGGTCAAGAAACTATTCCATCAAATCGAGATATTGTACTTTATAAGCAGAATGGTAGTTTGCAGCAAATTTTACAAACTCATTATACTTATATTCCATTGCATTATGTGTTACTTTTTCCATATGATGATTCTGGATGGCATTCTTATATTCTTGCAAATAATACTATTCGTCATATAAACAATGCTCAAAATATATCTGAGCATGAAAATACTAATTCATGTTATATTACAATGATGCAGTATTATGCTTATCATTTGCAAGTATGACAACAGTATTCACTTGAATCATTTGCATTACAT